TTCTTCTTCTTCTTCTTCTTCTTCTTCTTCTTCTTCTTCTTCTTCTTTTATTTTTTTGCAATTCTTTTTGTCCTTAGGGCATTGCCTATTAAGGATGTAGAGTGAAATTACTGTGTTTTAAGGTCACTTGAAATACTTCCTCTGAGTGGTTGTGCCACTAACTGAATACACAGTTGGATTTGTTTCATTTTGCTTTCACTTATTAGGTATTATTTTTTTCAAATTTCATATAATTTGTTTGTATTTTTAAAATTAGTTTTTATTTTGAAATAATTACAGATCCACAGGAAGTTGCACACATAGTACAGAGGAATCCCCCAAATCCTCCACCCAATTTCTCCCAGTGGCTACATCTTATGTAATCAGAGCACAGTCTGGAAACCAGAAAGTTGACATTGGTAAAATGTGTGTGTGTAGTTCTATGCCATTTTATCACATATAGATTTGTGGAACCACCACTATAATCAAGATATAAAACTATTCCATCACCACAAAGATCTCCCTCATACTACCCCCTCATAATCATACTCACCAGCCCCTCTCATTATTTCAATACCTTTACCCTCCCCCATGTGTAACACAATGCCTTAAACATTTCCTCTGCACACATTGAAAAACCATCTCAGACAGTATTATAATTTTTGCTTCACTCCTGAAATGAATATTATACTACAGGTTAACTAACTAGAATTAAAAAAAAAAAAACCTGAAATAAAAAAAATTTTTTTGCTTCAACTATCAAACTATTAACTTAGAAACCTAAAGTGTCTATTATATTTACTCATATTTTTACTCTTTAATTGTTCCTTTTTCCTTCTTGATGTTCCAAGATGCCTTCTTTTATAATTTCTTTCTGATCAAGTATTTCTTTAGCCATTCTTTTAAAGTAGGTCTACTGGTAATAACTTCTCATAAGTTTTCTTTCTTCTGGGAATGCCTAGATTTTTTCCTTCATTCCTAAAGGATATTTTTGCTGGATATAAAGTTCTGGGTTGATAAATCCTTTTATTTAGCAATTGAAAAATGTTTTGCATCTCTTTTTGGTGTGTGATGAGGTTTGTGATGAGACATTTGCTGTCATTCTTTTCCTTTGTAAGTGAGGTGTTGGGGAACCTGAGTGGTTCAGTTGGTTGAGCATCTGACTTTGGTTCAGGTTCAGGTTCATGAGTTTGAGTCCCACATCAGCCTTACTGCTGTCAGCACAGAGCCTGCTTCAGGTCCTCTGTCCTACTGTCTCTCTGCCCCTTCCTTGCTTGCTGTCTCTCTCTCAAAAATAAACACTCATAAGTGAGGTGTCATTTCTCTCTCACTACTTTCAAGACATTTTTTTGTCTTTAGTTTTCAAAAATCTGATTTTGATATGTT